GACTGTAGCAGATTGTGGCGTGCATCCCTCTATGGGGAGCTAGGACTGTTTCTCACTGAACTGTTGTTTCTTGACTGCTTTTCCTTTGTCCCTGTGTCCCCTCCCTTCCCTTAAGAGCACTGATTACTGAGACCTGCTGAAGGGCAAGCATTGTGGCCAGGCTCAGATCACAGAATGGCTTAGGCCAAAAATGGCTTCCCTTAGGTCTAGAAAGCCGTGCCTGGTTCTCTTTCTCTGGGGAACCCCTACCCTATCTGCTTACAATGTTTCAACCAGAAGTGAGGGCCATTGCGTTTATTAATGCTAATTCTCTACTTACTGGCTTTAGCCTATCATCCCAGGCAGACCGTTCTTAATGTTTATCCGTCATCTCTAGATTAGAAATAGATTTCAGTCCATTTCTATTGGCTTCCTTCTAACTTTCAGTCATCTGCGAATTTCGTCAGCCTGTCTTCAGACTTGAAGATTACTAATAAAATTCTGTGTGGCCTTGAGCTAGTCATTTAACCTCTTTCAGCCTCTGTTTCCTCACTTGTATGATAAGGGGGGCAGGGAATGACTTCCTAGTTCCCAAGGAGTTTCAGTATATCTTATAAAAATCCAAATGGCCAGCTGCTGAAAGACTGGGAAGGGAAAAAAGAACAGAGTAAATTCCTTCACCTATGGCATAAATTGCTCAAGTCAATTGTGGTGGTTAATTTTATGTGTCAACTTGGCTGGGCTAAGAGATGTCCAGACAGCTGGTAAAACGTCATTTCTGGGTGTGTCTATGCGTGTTTGTGGAAGGGTTTAGCCTTTGAATGAGGAGACTGAGTAAAGAAAATCAGCTCCCCAATGCGGTGGGTCATCCAATCCACGGCGGGCAGAGGAAGGCAAGTTCTCTTTCTCTTGCTAAGCTGGGACATCCTGCCTCTCCTGCCCTCAGAGAGGGGAGCTCCTGCTTCTCAGGCCTTTGGACTCAGACTGAATTACACCACAAGCTGCCCTGCTTCTCTGGCCTACAGATGTCAGGTCCAAGGGCCTCTCAGTCTCCATAACTGTGTGAGCCAATTCTGAGGACCCTGACTAATATATGTTCTGCGTTCGAATACATGGATTTCAATGTAATCCCCAGGCACTGTTTATAGAAATCAAACTTGGAAAACAATATGGTAGATGCCTTCACTCATAAATAGACATTCTACGTTTGTATAGCTCTAGTCTGTGGAAGAGAAAAGCTGCAAAATTATATTGATGTTTTGTCAATTTAATTGTAGTAAATTTAGTTCCTAAATTCTGTATGTTATATATGTATATACATATAAACTACTTGGTGAACTATTAGTCTTATACTACCTTTAGTGAAATCAGTGGTAGATATTATGTCTTGGGCTTCCCTGGTGGCACAGTGGTTAAGAATCCACCCGCCAGTGCAGGGGACACGGGTTCGAGCCCTGGTCCGGGAAGATCCCACATGCTGCGGAGCAGCTAAGCCCGTGTGCCACAGCTACTGAGCCTGCGCTCTAGAGCCCGCGAGCCACGACTACTAAAGCCCATGTGCCTAGAGCCTGTGCTCTGCAACAAGAGAAGCCACTGTAATGAGAAGCCCGCGCACCACAACGAAGAGTAGCTGCTGCTCACTGCAACTAGAGAAAGCCCGTGCGCAGCAACGAAGACCCAACGCAGCCAAAAAAAAAAAAAAAGTAAAATAAATAAATAAATATTATGTCTTTATATTTAGATATCCACTGTAACATAACCCAGTAAGAGAGTTTATGAAAGATCCATTACCATGTTGTGTTCATTCCTATCAATTTTGCAGCACACTTTAACCCTTTATTCAAGAGCGGAAACTTTTTGGCCTGATCTGGGTTTGCAAGGTACATTTAAAAATAGTCAAAGGCGGGAATTCCCTGGCAGTCCAGTGGTTAGGATTCCAAGCTTACACTGCCAAGGCCTGGGTTTGATCCCTGGTCGAGGAACCAGGATCCCATGCAAGCCGTGGCCAAAAAAAAAAAAAACAAAACAGTCAAAGGCAATAGATCCCCTTCTCCACATCCTATGTCATCAGGAAAATGCAAGTTAAAAGAATACCACTACACAGGACTTCCCTGGTGGCACAGTGGTTAAGACTCCGAGCTCCCAATGCAGTGGGCCAGGGTTCAATCCCTGGTTGGGGAACCAGATCCCGCATGCATGCCACAACTAAGAGTTCACATGCCACAACTAAGGAGCCCATGTGCCACAACTAAGGAGCTGGTGAGCAGCAACTAAGGCCTGCACAAGCAATAAATAAATAAATATTAAAAAAAAACAAACAAAAAAACAATACCACTACACAATGGCCAAAATCTGGAACGCTGACAACACCAACTGCTTGTGAGGCCGCAGAGCAGTAGGAACTTCAGTCGTTGCTGGGGTCCGGGAACGCAAAATGGTGCGGCCACTTTGCAAGATAGTTTGGTGGTTTCTTACAAAACTAAGTATATTCTTACCATACGATCCAGCAGCCATATTTGGTATTTACCCAAAGCAGTTGGAAACTGATGACCACACAAAAACCCACACACAAATGTTTATAGCAACTGTATTCATAATTGTCAAAACTTGGGAGCCACCCAGATGTCTTTCAGTAGGTGAATAGATACATGGTGCATCCAAACAACAGAATATTATTCAGTGCTAGAAGGAAACGAGCTATCAAGTCATAAAAAGACATGAGAAAACTTCAATGCGTATTTAAGTTTCCCATCTCCAAATCCCATCAAGTGGAGCTTTTAGGATTTTTAGGACAGTGAAAATATTCTATATGATACCATTATGATGGATACCTGTCACTGTAAATTTGTCCAAATCTATGGAATGGGCAACAAGAGTGAACCATAATATAAACCATGGATTTGGGTGATAATGATGTGCCCATGTAGGCTCACCAGTTGTAACAATTGTACCACTCTGGTGGGGATGTCACTAATGTCAGTATGAATTTTATTCTTCTTAATTTAAAAAAATTTATTTATTTATCTATGTGGCTGCACCAGGTCTTTGTTGTGTCACGCAGGATGTTTAGTTGTGGCCCGCAGGATCTAGTTCCCTGACCAGGGGATCGAACCCGGGCCCCTGCATTGGGAGCGTGAAGTCTTAACCACTGGACCACCAGGGAAGTCCCAATAATGTCAATATGAATTTTAAAAGTTAATATCTTTGATCCAATATTCCACTTCTAGAACTCACTTGCAAGGAAATGTCAGTATAGGCAAGTTTTATGTAGAAAAAAATTTATTACAGTTATATGCAATCAATAAGAATTGGAAATAACTCAAATATTCAATAAAGAAATGATGATACATTCATATGATGAAATATTGTATAGCATTAAAAGTAGTGTTTTTAAAGAAACTTAACGGAGGGGGGAAATTTTACACAAGGCTATTTTAAATGAAAAGTAGGATACAGTTATACATATATTCTTTGTTTTAGTCCATTCAGGCTGCTATAACAGAACATCACAGACTGGGTGACTTACAAACAACAGAAATTTATTTCTCACAGTTTTGAAGGCTGGGAAGTCCAAGATCAAGACACCAGCAGATCCAGTGTCTGGTGAGGATTCATAGACATCCACCTTCTCACTGTGTCCTCACATGGCAGAAGGGGCAAGGGAGCTCTCGGTGTCTCCTTTACCATTCATGGCACTAATCCCATTCATGAAGACCCAGCCCTTATGATCTAATAACCTGCCAAAGGCCCCCATCTTCAAATCCCATCAGCCGGGGATTAGATTCCAAAATATGGATTTGGGGGGACACAAATATACAATCTATGGCAGTTTTAACTTAGTTTAAAGATAGAAAAAGACTAGAAGGAAATAGGAATATTAATCATGATTTTGAGTGGTAGGGTTACAGATGATTTTTATTCCTTTATGTTTCTATATATTTCAAGGCTTCTAAAATAGACACTTTATTTCTTTAAAAAGATACATTGGAAATAAAATCAGTAAATGAGAGGTGGGAGAAATTATTAGTGATTCTGGACATCCTAGGAAGTTTTCCCTCATATCCACCTGGGCCAACCCCAGACAGCCTTGTGTCTTCAGCTATGGTGTCAAATAGAGCTAGGTGGGAGTTCCAGCTTTACCGTTTATCTAGCTGTGCAGCCTTGCATAGGTAAGTAACTTCTTTGTGTTTTTATGTTCTTAATTTATAAGACAGTGATGTAAAATCTCACAGGTTGACACAGGATTAAATGAAATAACCCATAAATATGCTAGGCATATTGTCAGAGTTCCAAAAAAATGTGTTTCCTTCCCTTATTTTGGAATTGGAGCAAAACACCTGCAGATTTAGGTAGAACAGACATGGATGCAGAGTGGTGAGATGAAGGAGGGACTGCGGGTGACAAGCGGGACCACCTCTGAGCCACACCGTGATCCTGGAGCTTTGCCCCTCGCATTAATGGCTACGGAAAGGAGAGGGACGCGACTCAAGGGGACGGCGGAATTAAGGGGACACCAGCAGAGACAAGCAGGCGCCGCTTCTCTGAGAGTCGTCAGCCCTCCCCTGAGGGTGCTGGCTGGAGCCGGTCTGCTGTCGACCACACAGCTTGATGGATGTCGTACTGAAGCCACTGATGCTTGAAGACGAAATCATCGCTAAGGCTTCTTTCTGCTCCGATTATAATAAGCAAATGCTTATAGGAATTTATTCCGATCTATCCGGCCTTCCGTCTGACCTCCTTAGGGCTTGGCAGGTTGCTTTTCTGGGCAATCCAGGGCTCGTGAGGAGTGAGGGGAGGGGTCCCGACCCCAGCAGAGGCGCAGGCCTCTGGCAGCTCAGCACCCGGAGTCCCCGCCTGGAAGGGGCCCGGGAATGGCCGGCATTTCCACCCTGACTTGCGGACCGAGGTGGGCCTGGAGGGGGCGAGGGAAGAGGCCGGGAGGAGGGGGAGGGGAGGAGGGGAGGGTCTGGTTGAGGCCGGAGAGGACATTCTGACGGTGCCGCCCGGGAAGCCCACATCCCAGAGCTCGCTGGGCCGCGCAGATGCCGGGAGGGCCCGGGGCGCGTCGCTGTGTCACCTCTGGGGCCGCGCCTGGTTTCCATAGCGACCGCGGAGCCGAGCGCGGAGGAGGCTGCGGCAGGACCCGGCCTTCTCCGCCCGCCGCCGGACGCGCACCTCCGGCTCGGGAGCCGGGCGGGAGGAAGGGGCCTCGGGGTCGGCGCGGCTGTGCTCAGCTCGCGAGCGGCCGGAGTACCTGCACCTGCACGTGCGCCGAGGACCGCCTGCCAGGAGGGCCCGCCCGTGAGTACCACCCAGTCCTCCTCGGGGAGCAGATCTCCGAACCACAAGGTCATGCGGTGTCTGGATTGATGCCTTTTAAAAATCACACCGTTAAATTGCATGTGGCCGCGAAGGCTTTTCCTTTCTGACATATTTGGGTCCTTGGAATTATTATTTCGTCTCCTTTTAAACGCGCCGCTCTCCTAACCGCAGCGGCGCCGTCTCGGTGCCTCCATTTCAGACAACGCCCCACCGTGCGGGTGCACCCCAAACCTATCCGAGAGGCCGCGGGGCTCAGATTCCCAGCCGCTTCCATCCAGTTCGCTTTATGTTCCTATCCCGCAATCAGAGAAGTACCTTCCCCGGGGCAAACGGCGGCTGCCAGCTGTCCTGGGCCAAGCCGCGTCCTTGCTGGCGAGCCCAAGGAAGCGCGTGCCTCCATCACCTCCGCAGCGAGGCGACCGTTCCCCCGGGGAGTCTCCTTCCCTCCAGCGGAGGCCGCGGCGCAGCCCGAGCCCAGAGATGGACGTGGCGCGTGTGACCGCACCAGAGGCCGCGGGGGCCGCCGCGCAGGTGCTTCTCTTGGAGAGCTCTGACAAGGGTGTGAAGTTCAGCCCTTCCTGAAGCAAGGCAAGGCCCGAATGCCTTTCCGGGACCGGCTTTGTTTAGAATCTGATTATGATTCCATGGTAAAATACTCTCTGTATATAAGTCCTCCCCTTGTCTGCCCACCCTCCCCATTCCCTCCCCCACCCCAAGAAAAAGTCTTTCTTCTTGGTCTGTTACTGTGATCAACTATTTAGAGGTTTCACTGTTATAAAGATTCCTCTCAAGGGAAGGGTGAACTCTTGTGAAATGAAAGATAAATACAACGCTGAACCCCTGGGCCCCTGCAGTACTATTCAGGGGTTCTCAACCCTGCTTGCGTGTTGGAACACCTGGGGAGCTTAAAAAGTACTGGTGCCTAGCTGTGATCATTTTGTCATGTACAGAAATATCAAATCACTATGTGGTGCACCAGGAGCTAACAGTGTTGTAGGTCAGTTATACTTCAATTAATAAATAAATTAAAATCAAATACTGAAGTCTGGGCCCCATCTCCAGAGATTCTGGCTTAATGGGTCTGAGATACAGCCTAAACATTGGGATTAAGCTCCTATGTGATTCTAATGAGCTAAATTTGCAACCCACCATTCTAATCAATCAGGATGACATTCTTCCGGGTGAATTTGGTAATCGCTTATTCTCTCCAATGGTAGGGCAGGGTGTATATCTGTCAGGAATGTCTAGAACCTTTCCCCAGGGAAAGGGAGAGAGGAGATGCATGCTTGTGCAAGTCTGTAGGGTGAGAGCTGTGTCCTCCTGTAGGTGACGGACTTCATGTTAGTAGTTAGCAGAGTCATGTGCAAATCTCCCACCCGCTTCGAGGAGAATGGACACTTAGAAAGAAGAAGGCTTAAGAATGCGGTGGTCACCCTGAAGAAGGGAGAAGCAACCTAAGAACACCTAAGAATTAGAAATGTTATCCTTTGCAGGCCTGAAACCCTTCAGCATGCCTTGAACTCCTCCTAAGTTTGAGGGGTTTCCTGAAGATCCAGGGGCCAGGGTCAGCTCCTCTCTGCAGCTACTACTGACGACAGGGGGCACACCTGTTGGGACAGGTTCTTCCAACACCTGCCTTCTAAGGTTACCTCACGAATATGCAGCGGGAGGCAAGAATCTGTGCTAGAAATTTAAACACACTAGAAAGTGTCATGTACCAACCTGGGGTCAGAACGTCCCCAGTCAGCGCCTCCTAAGGCGCTTGCTTTAATTCTGGCTGAATTGGAACTTCCCTGGTGGTCCAGTGGTTAAGACTCTGCGCTCCCAATGCACGGGGCCCAGGTTCCATCCCTGGTCAGGGAACTAGATCCCACATCTAGATCCCACATGCCACGCTGTGCGGCCAAAAAAAGAAAATTAAAAAAAAATCATAATTATAACTTTGGCTGAATAGCGATTGGTTGTGGTCTCCTTGATGGGTAGGCATAAAAGTACTGTCTCTTCTGAGACCCTTGGCAAGGCTTGGTCATTCACCTCATCAATAGGCAAGAGAATTAAGACGCTATTTAAAGGTCATACAACCATCCGACATGGGACACAAAACTCATGTGCCAGGGCCACCTGGCTGGGCGGTGTCCCCAGGGTGACCGAGGCTCTCCCACGCTGCTGTCTGGAATCACCCTCAGCAGCACCCCCAGGTGCTGACCTGACCTGGAGGAGCCCCTTCCCAGTGCCTGCGTCGTCCACACATTTTGTCTCTTCCTGGAGTGACCTGACCTCCTGAGACAATGCCTTCACTTACCCAGACTGGGCCTCCTTCAGGTTTCTCCGTGTCCGCTTGGCAAAGCCAGGCTGTGGGCACACTTCACCCGCTGCTCTAGCCTCTCAGCTGAACTGGAGCTGCTTTCAGCTGGTTCCCTGGGAAGGACGGCTCCTTGCTTTTGCTACCTCAGGCCCAAGCGCCCTTTCGCAACACGGCATCTCAGAGCTGCTACACCTCATGGGCAGGCCAGGCCAGGTCAAGCCTGCGAAGGCGGCCAGCCCCCTGGATGGCAGGCCGGAAACAGTGAAACCATGTCTTAGTTCTTATTGCCGCCCGCCCACCCATGACCAGCAATATCTAGTTCCTGAAAAAGGGCAGTTTACGTCACAGGCCACTGGGGAGAAATGTCCAGTTGATCTGGCTCATTCTATGTATATCAGTTCATTTGGGGGATACTAGAGAGAGTGCAGTGGAAAATAAAACCCTATTTTACATGTTTTCAGACAGTGGATTATGACTCACCAGTGGGTCATGAAATCAATTTTGTGGGTCATGATCAGCATTTTAGAAAGAAAAAACAAGAAATTTACTCAGATAAGGAAATAAGAAAAAAATACATAGATAATGTTCCTCACTGACAGTAATCAAAAGTATACATCATAGCAACACTGTGACACTGTTTACCTCTTGCTAATGGGAGTAACAATTAAAAAAATAACACCCAATGCTACTGAGGGTGCAGTAAAATTGCATTTTTTATTGTGGGTTGCATTGTAAATTGGTAAAATTTGGGGGAAATGCAACATGATAATAGGAAAAGCCATAAAAGTACTATACCCAGGAATTTTTCCCGGTGAAGCTATTTAATAAAGATTTTTAAAATTCTAAATACATGAAAGATATCCTCTACTGTGTTACTTGTAATAGAAAAAAATAGAAATATCTGAAATGTCCAACATTAGAGGAACAGTTTAAAAATTTTGTGGTACATCAATATAATGGAGTATTTTGCATTTTAACGAAAGCTTATATCCAGAGACATGTAGAGGGAAACAAGGAAAGACTTATGATAAAATGTACAATAGAATACAAAATAGCAAGCACACCATGTTTATAACTTTAAATAATCTGTGTGCCTGTGGAAGATAAATTCCCATGTTCAAGTTGCTAAAATGATGGGTTATTGTTTTAAAAATTGATTTGCTGTTGTATATAAAACCTGTCAGACTGGAAGAAATGAATGTACAGGAGAAGAAAAGCAATCCCAGAAATTATCACATTACAATGTAGATTGTCGTTTTCTTGGCCCTAAAAACCAGAAAAATCACGAGTCAAAATTATGTTGAATAACTTCATGCTGTGTGGATTTTTTCACTCTTGTTGTAAGCCAGTGTCAATTTTGGTAAATTCCTTGCTTAAGGCAGGTAGTTTGTGGATATCTGTTGACCCACTGATCTTTTCGTTATACTATTCACAATCTCAATCCTGGGAAAACTTGAATTTATCTCTAAAGAAGCATCAGAAATCTTAGTGGAAGTAACACTTTCTCTTTAACTGTATATTATAAGGGAGCTTTAATTTTTCCATCATAGGGAGCACGTCTTTGGGAACTTTCCCGCCATTCAAAGAATTATAAGAATATTTTAAGTAGGTCACAGCTCTGAAGGGAGAGATAAGGGGTGTAATGGACAGGGGTCTGGGGAAACCTTGTTAGAAATTTGCCTAATGTGGTTGTTTACATGATTTATTTGAGTTGGGAAAGAGAGTAGGGAAAGAGGGGAAGTGAGGGGCGGGTTCAAAACCAGCAACTTGGGACACCTGTTCTCTGGAATTTTCAGACCAACTGGCCAGGCATATAACTCCTGGGGCCCTCTTACCTTTGGGTTTTCTGTGTAACCTCGAGATAAACATTTAGTGTCTCTGTGTTTTCATCGTCCTCAAGAGGAATGAAAACTCTTGTTCTCTTCCTTCCAAAGGCATATTCAGTGGAAGGTTTAGATTTTATGCATATTTATGTGCCCCTTACGCCCCTTCCCTGAGGGTGTCTGCGTTTTCTGATAGGCCTTCCAGGAACAGCACACCAGGACACAGGAGGGGACAGAGTTATGGGGGAAACCCCTATAAACAAAAGTGTGTGAGAGACACAGAGAGAAAACCTCGTCGTTGGGTCAGCTCAGAAGCCCAGTATCAAACTCTCAACAGCTCTGTGAAGTGAGTGTCATTTTCTCCATTTTTCTGATCTGGAGAGGGTTCCTGCAATTCAGAGACACTAATGTGATCAGGGTTTTTCTGCAGAAACCAGGGAAGTGGGGATTTGGGCTCGTGTGGCTCTCCTTGGCTATGTGTCCTCGGGCAAGTTTTTTTTAACTTCTCTGAAGCTCAATTACCTTATATTAAAATAGGGATAATAATGACAAGATGAGGTTATTAAGATGGTTAGAACTTATACCTTTTGGGGGTTTTTGGTTGCCAACAATGCAAGTAGACTCTAGGGCTAACTTTGGGGAAGGATGGAGGACATTTACTGGAAGAATATGAATTGACTCACACAACGGAAAGAAAAGTGAACAGCCAGGTCTCGGGAAGGATAAGACCCAGAGCAGCTAAGGGGGTTGAGAGAGCAGAGAGATAGATACCAGTTTCCTTCTTTAGGGTATTTGCGACGGGATGAATCAGCCCCTGTTATTTTCAGTTCTTGTGCCTTTCTGCTTAACAC